GTAGCGGCGAACAGAGAACTCCGGAATTCCGAAGACCCAACCCAGGCACGCGGCGACCTGCGCCACGTGGCGGCCCCCGACGGCCTAACTTTTCGGGACTGCCTCCACCGCGGAGGGATTTCCCCGCAAACCGTCCTCCACAGTGCCCCGGCCCCATCGGGCCTTGAGTCCCCTGCGCACGCGCCCCTTTTTCGCCCAATTGCAATCATATCCTTAAGACTCCCCCACTTTCCCAAAAATCCTTGGCACACCCCTCTTCGCACTTCCAGGCCCACATCCCACTCCGATCAGGAAGTCGCGCTGGGCGTGAGGTTGGGCGTCACAGCAGTGCAGACTGCACAACTGTGCACATAAAACCCTTCTCCACTTCGGGTTTCAAAGCTTTCACTTGAATATCTGCTACTACCAAGATCTGCAGCGGGACCTGTTTCACTTGGGCTGACGCCGCATGCTGCGCAGCAGGCCCTGCATCCTCGTACTAGTGGCGGAGTCAGAATAGCCACGGCAAAGAGCATAGGTCGCGCACTTCAGTGTCAGCCATCTGTGGGGGGCATGTTGTGTGAGTTATGGCCATGGGCAGGTGATTGAAAATCTGGGGGCATGGTTGTTCCCCGGCTGTAGCCTTGAGAGGCAACCTCTGCAGTAGACTGGCACCAATCCCAGGCAGCAGACAACACCAACAGGTCTATCTCAGTTGGTACACCCATGATCTGCTGACGTCCAGACCAAAGTTTGAATCAAGATACAGTCAGATGTTTAGTGTAGTATAATTTTGAATTACCTGGGACCGGTCAATCCTACAATGGTAAGTTGGGGCTCGGCCTACCAGGCAGCCCTTCGGGACATCAGTTAAATTTGGAACAATACAGAGAAGACTAGCATGGCCCCTGCGCAAGGCCGACACGCAGATGCGGGACCTGCATCCATGGGCCAAGTTCAGCTGGTACACCCGCAGGCTGTTGAAAAACAGGCCTGTGGGACCAGCTCCCGCGGGCCAAGTTCAGTTGGTCCACCCGCAGGCTGTCGAAAAACAAGCCTGTGGGACCAGCATCCCTGGGCCAAGTTCAGCTGGTACACCCGCAGGCTGTTGAAAACCAGGCCTGTGGGACCAGCTCCAGTGGGCCAAGTTCAACTGGTACACCCGCAGGCTGTTGAAAAACAAGCCTGTGGGACCAGCACCCGTGGGCTTAGCCTAGCTGGTACACCCGCAGACTGTTGAAAAACAGTCATGTGGGATATGTACCTGCAGTAGCCCAGTTGGTACACCCGCAGACTGTTGAAAAACAGTCATGTGGGATCACCACCTAAGTAAGCCGGTTAGTATGCCCACGAGGTGCTGAAATACAGACCTGAGCTCGAACTCCAATAAAGGTGGGTGAGTGGGAGCTTGCGGTGCAAGCTGAAATACCACTACTTTTATTTTTATTATTATTTCACTTATTTCATGAGGTGGAGCTGGGACTTTGCCCCTGCCTCTCGGTCCAAGGTGGGGGTGCTCGTGGCCTGCCTGATTCAAGCACTGTCAGGTGGGGAGTTTGGCCGAGTCGACACATCTATACAGGCGTAGTGCAATTGTCCCGAAGGGAATTCGATATGCATGAGAGTCGGTGGGTGCATGGCCCACAGGGCAGAAGAAACCTGAGTGGCAGGGACTCCCTGCAGACTGCAGGTGCACCATCTGCCAACCGTGGTCTGCTGCCGGAGGCTTGTGTGAGAGCATGCCCATTGGACCAAACAGACGGGAATGCACCCGGATTGCGGGTTCGTGAACCGCAATGTTGCCTGTATAGGACGACGCACTTCATAGTATCGGGGTTGGCACGCGGTTTGGCACCTATGAGGGCCTGAGACGCTATGATGAAGGCCGCAGCTATACTTACGTGCAAATCGTTCACTGGACTGTGGTATGGGGGCCGGGAAACTACTGGAACCAGCTGGCAGCTGCCCCCCCCCCCCCCCCTTCGAAATGGCTCACGGCGGAGCTTTCATGTGAAAGCGAAGTTGGGCCTGGGTATAGGGCCGAAAAGCCCAGTTGAACCAGGCCAGTAGTTGGCTACTTGCAAAGTTCTGCTCGGCGTATCTTGAGCTGTCGAATTTGCACCGTGCTAAGCAGCGCAAAATACTGCGCTAAGAAGCAACGGAGAAGGAGATGTCAGGAGAATCAAGAAAGAAGAGG